GTCTACCCTTATTAACTTGCAGGTGCTACCATGATCTCAAGATAATAAATCTTAATTGAATGGGTGACAAATTTAGTGCAGATAACATGCAGGCCCAGTAGTGGCAGGTGACAAGGTAATTTTCTTCTAAATTTTATAGACTGCATATAAAAAAAGTCTACTTGCCAACAGACACTTTTGTTCTGAAAGTGTACTGGCTGAACACTGCAGCAATCATGTGTCCAGCCATGCAGCCACAGTTGTGCAATACTTGGCATTTCAGAGCCAATTTCCTTATCCCAACATTTCCTACGCCTCACCCCAACTTTATCCCCCAGAAGCTCTATCTGTAGCATGACTGACTTGACAAGCATAGGCCCCCTGTTTTTTGAAAGCACCAAACATGCTGTCATATGAAATAACTTGAGATGTTCATTACCCTGCAGTTCTGCTCGGACGAGAGATCTTGCCTCTGAGGAAGAGCGAATGGATGATTTTCAAACAGTACCATATGCTCTGAGAACAAGTCTGCTGTGCCCAGCCTGCTTTGGGTGCAAGAGGAAACACATAACAGAACTTTTTCCTCAGCATGTAAGAAAAACATCCGAGTATGGATTTCTGCCTTCTCTCAATCAGAACTTCTGACATTTGTTTTGACTTTCAGTAAACAATTCAATTTCCAAATGTCATAGAGGATTTGAACGACCACATATGATAGTCCCCGTTTGTATCAAGAAGGTCACTAAGGCATTTTAAAACTTGTTAGATGGACCAACTTTGTTTCAAATGCACAATTTCCCAAAAACTATTCCAAAAAGAAGCAACTAAGCTCTTCCATGAAGGTCCACGTGATAGATCACATTCATAAGGTCTGCACTAGTTGAGCCTCATCTCTGGGAGAAAGGATTCTGGGAGAACTTTCAACTCTAGCAAATGTATGTGGACTTTGCACTCTTGAGGTTTTCCAAGATTATGCACAGCTCCAAGATCCTTGATGTGCTCCTCAACCCAGATTTTATGCAACACTGTAAGAAGAAAGCTAAGAGAAGGGCAACCCCTTCTAAATGTACACTGGTAGTATCCACAACAGCAGTGAGTATTTGACCCACTAAGGTGAAAATATTTCTACATGGGTCGCATTTGCATGCTTGCAAAGAGAGATGACATGGGTGCAGGTATCCATCAGGCCTCACACATATGATAAAATCTTGTAGGACCATCTAGCATGGACATAGCTAGGTTCACTGCCTGCAGTAAATAACCTTGTAGAATTTAGAGTGGGCCTCTTTGAAAGTTGGATTCTGCCCAGGGACCAAGTTTGATTTCATTTAGTTTACTCTCAGACAAAGAGCTCTGAAGAAAGAGTAAGTCTCACAGGGAATACATTATTTCACAATAAGACTGGGCTCTAATGAACCAATTATCTAGATGCAGATACACCTGTAAATCTTGTCAACACAAATGGACTGCACTCACCATTAGTGACTCTGTGAACACCCTTCAGACTGCTAGCTTGTACAAGTTGTTTTCTCTATAAACCTAAGGGAAGATGCCTTACAAAGATACAGAAATAGGCATCTTGAAAGGATAAGGACCCTGAACCAATCCTGCAGATTGAAAACAGGGACTGGATTCTCCCCAAAGAAACCATAATTAGGCTTTCCTCAGCTTTCCTCCTCCACCCTTTTTTGCAAAGGTTCAGGAAGCGTAATGGGCATCACAAAAGGCTCTGATATCATTCAGAGAAAAGGAGATGATGCTCTCATCAGATAATGAGATAAGACAATTATACTTTTGAAGATTTGATTTCACATCAGGAATATCAGTAATCCTGGGAATTCCTATGGAGGTAGCAGAGGGATCCCTGCTAAATCCTTCATCTTCTCAGATTTTTTGGAAGAGTGGGAAACCATGGTCTCGTCCAATATATCTATGGATGACACTGAGTTTTTCCAGAATTGTGGTTTCCATTGCAACATAGCCCTGATCTACACTAGGACCTTATTCCAAAATAACCGCCCTAAGTTCAAATTTGTAAGGGGTGCATCCACACTTCCAAGCCTGTATTTTTTTTTAAATAAAGTGCTGGGGAATTCAAACTTTGTACTCCTACATTTTATCAGGAGTAATGCTAATTCTGAAATAGTGTGGACGCTCTGGGGCTGCTAATTTGAACTTACTGGCCTCCGGGAGGCCTCCTGCAGCTTCCCAGAGTGCTTCCTGGGGCTTTAAGTCCAAGGTAGCACACCCACATTAACAGAGCCTGCCTCAGACTAATTTCGATGCTTCCCCATAGTAAGGACATGCTAGTTAGAAGGTGTTAAATCGGGAGTTCTTAAGCTGAAATTAGTAATAGTTTCCTAATGTAGATATGGCCAGAGGCTTCTCTGCACAGCATTAATGGTAAGACTGTTCCAAAGAATATCTTGCTTGAAGTTATGATGGACCCTAAGAGGAAGTAAGTTGGAGCTGGGCAGCAATGATGGCTCTGTGTCTCAGGCATTCCCACCACTGGAGCCTTCAAAGGATATTGGCTCCTGGCATTTAGATAAGATGGCACAGATCCCTGAGTCTGGATCCAAACAAGTTCTACTCTTCTCCAAGATCCAGGGAAGCAGACCATTTTTCTTACTAAGACGCCTCTTGAGTTTGCTGGAGTCACAGCTGCTTACCCACTGTCCTTAGCTGTGGAAACCCATTTTGATGGCTCATTGCAGGATGAGTTTACCAGAGGACAAGCCCATGAGAGGATGAGCCCTTTTGGCCTGAAATTCTGTACCAAATCTTCCTTTGACAGCGAAGGAGGCATAGCAGCCATACTGCTTCCACCTAGGGAGGCAATGAGACCTTCAGCTGAGATCATAAGAAGCACTTCTCTTGAATATCTAAAGTAAGAATTTCATGGACAAGAGGAAAAAAAACTTTAAAAACTCTGATTTTAAGATAGGTCTGCCAAAGTGCACAACAGCAAAACATTGACAAAACAGTCCATAATGTTTTCAAAAAAGCTTTTAATCCTACAACTAACTCTAACAAAACCTCAATTTACCATTGCTTTTGCTTGTTTAACAAAACTGAAAAAAAGAGGCTGTTCTATTACTTTACCAGCAGATGGAGAGAAAAGAACTAGGGGCACTATAAGGGTGCGTCTACACTACACGTGGAGCTCAAAATAAGCTATGCAAACTGCATAGCTTATTTCGAGTTAATTTCAAAATAGCTTATTTCGAAATTTGGCAATGTCTACACAGTACTTACTTTGAAATAAATTGCTATTCCAAAACGTCCCTTACACCTTGTGAAATGAGGTTTCCTGGGACATTGGAAAGAGAGCCAGTAATATTTTGAAATAATGGGCGGTCTCAAAGACATGGAATAGCTATTTCAGGATACCTCCAGTATTCCGAAATAGCACTGCAGTGTAGAAGTAACCCAAGAGGGGCTAGGCAATTAGTCAACCTAAGAATTGTTCATGCATCTCCTAGCCCTGAGCTATACTACTGCATTGCAAGGATGTGTAACCACATGGCTAGGCACTCTACTTCTAGAGCAGGGTATGGAGTGCAAGAAAGCTCTTTTTGCCCCCCTCTCATCCATTAAAACATACTGACAGCAATACTGCAAACTTCTCTACAAATCATATAACCAGAAGCCATTAAGAAATATTTTCCTTTCCTTGAAGAACCAACCAAAACAGCAAAAGCTTGTTTGTGGTGGAGAGAAACTGTTCACAGTAAATAGCTTAATATTTAACAGATCTGTAAAATACTTGAGAACACAGCTCAGATAGGACAGGAACATGACAGTCCAGACATTGACAATATTATTGTGCTAATGTCTGCCACCAGAGGTCACTGTAACATGAAAAAGATAGTGCTAGTCTGTGATTTATCTGTGCCAGATGAATAATCTACAAAAGAGGGAGTGAGCTGACATTATGAGTTTAGCAAAATTTCTAGTTTGCATGCTAAGTACTTGTAGTCAACCCAGTAACTTCTGTACAAAAGCAAAATATTCCCCATAGAAAAGAAATGACTCCAGCAACATTACTAATTCAAATAAAGTAGTGAAATAATAGAAAGCCATTTTTTAAAATGGAAATTCATGGTAAAATATCAATTTCCCACCAAAAACTTTTCAAGTTTATAGCCTTGCTTTTATAAACAGGTTTTCCCATTATGGGAGTTAACATATTATTGCACAGCAGAAACACATCTACTTATGTTCTTCAGAGTTGTCAAGTTTCTTAAAATAAGGCTCCTTCTATTTGCAGGATAAAGGGATAATTATTTGTTACACATCTGCTGTTTAGAAGTAATATCAGACATCTGAAGTTTATTCTACATTGTAATGATGTAAGAGTAGTAAAAAAGGTTTTAAAGTAGAGCTGGTCAGATCACTTTTAGACAAAAGACAGATACCGTCTCTAGTAAAAGAGGCTTCCCAACTAGCACTCTTTTAAACCATAAATAAAAAACAAAAGTCACACACTGCCAAAGTCTTCCTTTGAAATCTGTGTTGTGTTTGCTCACCTCTGTTAACTACACCAACCTTTAGCTGTGCTCAACCTTGCAGCTAAGCTCTTTTGCCATCTTCACACATGACCATCAACACATCCAACTGAGAAGCTAAAACTGTTGCTCAACGATTTTGAATTCAATAGAAAAAAATAGTCTGAGTAGTTTAAACTTAAAGACACTACCTACAGAGCAACCAGAGAAGTAAGGAAAGATGGCACAGAAAGCACAGCAAATGCAAGGTATGACCCAGTAACCCAAACAGAGTTTTTTTGTTTTGTCTGAAACGACTTTTCCCTTTTCTCATAGGTGACCTTTTAATCCTTTTTGTGCTGGCAATTCCCAGAGCATCCTTTGCCAGCAACAGTCTTTGTGCTAGAAACATATAATGCCCACTCCTAACATGTGAGAACATACGCACACTTGTGCATGCACACACGGGAACAGACCAGCACTCACACAGGCACATGCTTTCAATTCCTTTTCAGTGTACTGGAAACCCACCGTATCCCCCTGCCTGGATGGGTGTTTTTGGAGAAGCACACGCATACAGACTAAAATCCTCCGTCTGGAAGCCAGCCCGGTTTAATGAGGGCTCAGATGCACTGCGGTGAATTTTTGGCAATGACCGAGCCAGAAGCTCAATGGAGGCAAGGATCTAAAACAAGCAGAAAACAACAGAAGATCAATCCCAGTGTGGCAGAGTAACACCCAAAAACCAAAGGCAGAACACTGAAGAATTACAAGCAATGAGTGGCTTAAGGTCAACCAAGCCACTACTTTTTAAAACAGCTTAACATTTTGCAGTCTAGTTTTTATACTTTCTGAGAAGGCTGAAAAGAACATTTATAGAGAAATTGCATCACTTTTCACCCTAAGGAATATACTGTCTCTTCTTCATTGACTCCGATGAAGGTGACAGTATTTTTTTTGTTTACTTTCTTGTTTATGCACTAGCATCAAGATGTTACCAGGAATGACCATAGCTTTGGAAATAGTTTGATTCAAACCACTACCACAAATTCAGCAGAGGGATCTCACTTTTTTATATTTTTAAATGTTGAGCTATGTGCTTAATAAATACATATATACATACATACAGCTACAATTGTTTAGAATCCAAAGATATTTTTCCAGATAGGGACTGGATGGTTAAGATTTGCAACAAAACTACACGACAATTTCCATTTATAGTATTTGGGGGTATAAACATTTCAGAGGATATACAGTAAGTACTAAAATTGAGACATTAATGCAGCATCCATTTGCTGTGTGAATGGGCCTTCTTTAATTCTTCATCAATGCATGTTGTTCTCTCCCAACTACATACATATCATTTTAATATTTATTTATTTGTACTTTGCTAACTACACTTGCCAACTATGCGCTTAACTATACATTCTTACTTATACTGGTCTTCAGATGGAACTCATGTCCTAGTTCAAAGGAAAACAGTCAATATGCACATACATTTCTTAGACCAGGGCTTCTTAATGCATGAGTTGTGACACAAAACTGTGTTGCCAGCATGCCACAATGTGTCAAAAGGTCATGTGGGAGGTGAGAGGGAAGAGAGGATGTTACAGAGCCCACTGCATGCTGACCCGACGACTGAGGTTTCTATGGCTCTAGTTCTGTGACTAGGGTTGGCTCCCCATTTTTGGCTTTGTGACCTGGAGCACAGAGTCACATTGATGATCAGGTGATTAAGTGGTTCTGTGTCCCTTTTAAGCCTGGCCAGAACCTCTGGAACACCGCAATGTCCGGAGCATGGAGCAATGCCTAACCTGTTTGTGAGACTGGACACACCATGCTGGTATACACATTGCACTTATTTAGTACTTACAATGTTAATGTATATATTATATTATTCCTGGGAGATTCTGTGCCAAAAAAAAAAAAATTCTGCACACTATTTTAAAATTTTGCATATTTTATTAGTCAAAATAATACAATATTCAATTCAGTTTCAATTATTTTGGTAATTTATTTCAAAATATCTGTCAGCAAGCATGTCTGTAATAATACAGGCAACAAAACAGATTCAGGAGATGATTTTTGACAAATAGATTTACCACCAGGCATATTAATACAGAATTCTGTGTAATAATTCATTTAAACTGCAGTATAGAACTGTATTTCCCATACCACTCAGAAACAGTGCAAAGGCATGGGGAAGTCAGAGGTAACAGAGCAGCTGAGAGTGAGGGAAGTAATTGCTGGAAAGCGGTCTGGGTATGAACTTGAAGGGTTGTTGGGTATGGTTGGGAAAACCACAGAACAGTTTTTTTGGAGAAAGCTAGGGGTAGGAAAGAATTGTTAGGGAGTAACCCCATGCAGACTAGGGATGTAATAGCGTAGTCAATTAACCATTTAACCGATAAGTAAAAGCTTACAGGTTAATGCTATAGACTACACACATTTCCCCCCCTCCCAGTAATCTTTTTTAGTAGGCTGGCCAGCAGCCTGGCTCAGTCCTGGCTTGCAATGGGTCCAGGACCCACCCCTGCTGTGGCTCTGCAGTTAAAGTATATCAAGAGCTAGGCAGGCAGGAGCCCAGCTCAGTCCCTGCTTGTGCCAGGTCTGGGAGATCAGACCTCCCCTAGGAAGGAGCTACTGCCACCCTGCACTGCTGCAGGGCGACAGGCAGTTGGTCCGTGAGGGGAGCTGGTTTTTAAACTGGCTCCCCTCGTGGACAAGCTCCCACCTGGCACCGCTCGCTACTGCTTCTCAGACAGAGGCAGCAGTCCTGAGTGGCAGGGGGCTTCTCGGGAGTAAGGCCAGAGTGCACTGGCTGCTGGCCCTGCCCCCGGGTACTATTGAATAGTTGAATAACCAATAAAAATTCATGAGGTTAATTGACTATTCAATTAACCGATATTTAACATCCCTAATGCAGACCCTGGCTAACACCTAGCCTCTCCCATTCAACCATGCACATCCTTCCCTGTCCCCATGTGTCTCTGTGCTCCCACTCAGCCATTTCCCCCACACAGCTCTGTACCCCCTTCCCGTATGCCTATGTATCCTGTACCCCGTCAGCCAGCCCTGTCCTTTGATCTCCATGTGTCTCTGCACTCCTCCTCCTTTGCCTGGCACTTCCCCCCTTTCTGTGGCCTTTTACCTCAACTCCCATTCAGCCCCTACCTCAGTCTTTGACCCTCTATCAGTCTCACAGTGCCCGTCACCCACTGCAGGCTCTTTCTCTTCCCTATCTTAGCAGACCAGGATAGCAATAGAGACTGTGAAATGTAAAGGGAGATCAGAGAGCCTAAAAGAATTAAAAAAAAAAACCCTCAATAATAATTGGGGTTATCCCCATATTGACATGTACCCTGTATAGCATACACATCACCTCAGGATGGGGCACAGATATAAAGTTTATTGACACCTTAAATTGACTGCTTTTTAGAGCTGCTGGTTATGGAACCCACAAGAAGAGAGGCAATTCTTGATTTATTCCTAAGTGGAGCACAGGATCTGGTCCAAGAGATAGAGGACTATAACTGGACTGCTTAGAAAAAGTGACCATAATATAATTACATTTAACATACCTGTAGTGGGAAAAACATCACAGCAGCCCAACACTGTGGAATTTAATTTCAGAAATGGGAACTATGCAAAAATTAGGTTAGTTAAACAGATATTAAAAGGTGCAGTGCTAAAAGTAAAATACCTGTAAGCTGCATGGAAACTTTTCAAAGACACCATAATAGAGGTTCAACTTAAATAACAAAAAAGTGCCTCCATGGCTTAACAACCAAGTAAAAGAAGCATTTAGAAGAGATAAAAAGGTGTAGCTTTAAAAGTGGAAGTTAAATCCTAGTGATAAAAATAGAAAGGAGCATAACATCTGTCAAATGAAGTGTAAAAATATAATTAGAAAGGCCAACAAGGAATTTGAAGAACAGCTAGCTAAAAATTCATAAATTAATAGCATTTTTTTGTACATCAGAAGCAGGAGACCTGCTAAACAACCAGTGGGGTCACTAGACAACTGAGATGCTAAAGGAGCACTCAAAGACAATAAGGTCACCGTAGAGAAATTGAATGAATTCTTTGCATTAGTATTATGTCTGAGGATATTAAGAAGATTCTCAAAACTGAGCCATTTTTTTTAGGTGATAAATCTGAGGGAATTTTCCCAGATTGAGATATGATTAGGATACAAATTGATAAACCCGTCACCAGGATCAGATGACATTCACCCAAAGGTTCTGAAAGAACTCAAATGTGAAATTGCAGAACTACTAACTGTGGTTTGTAATCTATTTTTTAAATCTTCTTCTGTAACAAATAACTGGAAGATAGCTAATGTGATGCCAATCTTTAAAACAGGCTCTAGAGGTGATAATGGCAATTACAGACTGGTAAATCTAACGTCAGTACCAAGCAAATTAGTTGAAACTATAGTAAAGAACAAAATTGTTGGGCACATAGTTATACATAATTTGTTGGGGAAAAGCCAATATAGTTTCTGTAAAGGGAAATCATACCTCACAAATCTACTAGAATTATTTGAGGGGATCCCTCTAAAGATTTTCCATCCCTGAGCGGAGAGAGTTTTGTCTTGTGCACCAACATTGAGGTCATGTGCACTGTTCAGATGTGTGCCACTGTGGCATCCAAGTTAGTATCAAATACCTTATATATATTTTGTAAAATGTTATGGAAGAAAGAATACTAAAATAAGAGATAATTAACAAGGTTCATTACTTTATATGTTTATTTAATATGAAGTAAAATAAAAAGAAAATTAATACTGCAAAATTTTCAGTAGCCAACTTCCTCTGTTTATAGCCCTCTCTCAGAGCCTCCCCCAGCTAGATGTAGAGTAGATAATCTCCCTTCCACTCCTATGATTACTGTTGGAATTCAGAACACCAAAAGGATGCTGGAGGGTTTGCTAGCAATACCAGAAGTATGAGATCCAGCAGAAAAGTTTGAACTTAGCATCTCTCAACTTTTACAAGGCATGACCACAGTGCATCAGTGCAGGAATGTTGAAAGAGTGAAAGATGTATCTAAGCCTCCTTTATCTTCCATCTTGACAGAAGCAAGTCCAGCTGCTGTTGTATGTTAAATTAGCCTCAAGGCTACTCTAAGTCTGCATTGCCCATAGTTCAATAGAAATCATAGGAGGCCAAGAAAAATCACAGTGCAACACTGCTCTAGTTTTCCTCCAGAATGCCCCTATCTTGGGAGCTTTATGGAAGGGGAAGGGAGGTTGAGGGTTACCACAGAGTCATTCCATTGGTTCTAAGCAAGACAGGGAGCCCCCTACCTACATTGGGAATAAAACCCAAGTAGGGGAGTGAGATCACTGTCTTTAGGGTACCTTTGTGCCACCGGAGTGTAAAATGGCCACAGTGTATAATGCTGTACAAATAGCATGAACACCCACTGGCACAGCCAGCTTGAATCCGGGGCAGGGTGCTCCTTTACCCCTCTGCAGCGGTGACAGGAGCCTAAGGCACACTTCTGTGGGAGTCAACATCACTGCCCTCTCCCTGGCTGGGTCTCTGCTCTGCTCACCCTCCATGCAGTGTCTGAGCCATGTGGTTGCTGTCTGCACAGGGAGGCAGAGCAGCAGTAGCACAAGTGGCAGATAGTACTGTATGGGCTGCAGTGGGTCAGGGTGCTGAGTAGAGCCGCCAT